CTAAGCGGTTTACAGAGTCAGCATATCGCCCCCAATAACAGTCTGGGTCCTCATTTCACCCACCTCGGAAGGATGGAAGGCTGAGTCAACCTTGAGCCGGTGAGATTTGAACCGCTGAACTGCAGATAACAGTCAGCTGAAGTGGCCTGCAGTACTGCACCCTAACCACTGCGCCACCTCGGCTCTTTTAATAAAAGAGAAAAAAATGACCAGAATATTATTTCCAGTCGTGTATGTCTCAGTTTATGACTGTTACAACTTACGACTGTAATTCTGTGGCTACAAGTCAAGGACTCCCTGTATTCATTCTATATGTGAATGTGAAAGAACTGCAAGAGAAAACATGTCTGTTCAGCCATTGGACTTTTATTCTGTATTTCTACCAATGAAATGCACTCAAAGCAGCTGTGGAATTCATGGGATGGATTTTATTTTGGTCATTTTTATTGGAAATCAAAGGGTGAAATTGTCAGCCACAGCTGTTTAAGAATTACCCTGTTGATTGTTGTAGAAATGAGACAATCACTGCTACTCACATTCTTTTCTTTCACTATGTTAGTGTGGGACAAAGCATAAAGGCTATACAAGTTCTGTTACTAAAACAAAAAAAATATGATTGAAATTGTAATAATAAAACAGAGGCTTTACCTTGAGTAGTTAAACATATTCTGACTTAACGTTTAATAAAATTCACATTTCGGCATTTATATATAACATGCTTTGCCACCAACTTCAATAATAATTTTTACTTACCAAAATAATTAAACCTCTCTATAGTGTTGCCATGTGTTCCCAACATTAGAGCTTCATTTATATTTTCCAGGATCCCAGGCAAAACCTACATGATAATAGCTTTTCTAACAGTGGGGACTATGGGTTTATCAAATACCTCCTTAGGATATCTGAATTATCCTACACAAGTAATCTTCAAGTGCTGTAAACTGATCCCAGTTATGATAGGAGGAGTCTTTATACAAGGTATGGCTTATTTTTGCTATTGATTGCTATTCATTTCAGAAAAAATAACCTTGTAAAGACCCAGTATTGGTTTATCCTGCTGCCACCCCACTCCCACCCCCATCCTCCATTAAAAAAAAATCTATAGGGCTTAAATTTAGGTCAATAGGAAACGTGCATGAAAACAAAATCAAAAACAAGGCCTCAAATCCACTTACATTCTCCGAGGAACGTTTTATATACCTTGCACACTGCTACTAGCAAGAATTACAAACTATTTTCTGCTATCTTAGGCTGTTGAGATAAATTTAAGATAAGTTTGGTAAACTATTTGAAACTGCCTTGTTATGAGAATATCTTATCTGCTTTTGGTTTTAGCCTGCCTAAAATGTAGAGAGAATATGCATAAAGTACAAATAATTTGTTAAGTGCTTTGGATTAATTTAAAATCCTATCACACCTACATATATGAACATCCAAAGTATGTTGCGAAATACAAGAAAAGAATGTTCTTTCTCTTCTTCAGTAATCTCAGAACACATCACTAAGTTCCTAGCCGTTTTGTGTCCTTGTTGATCATGAGCCACTTCAGTGATAATACATACTTAATTAACTGTTTGTAACTATAAGGAGGACAAAGTAGAATGCTTATGAGTCATTTGAGAACTCTTGCACAGGGGAGACAAGCACAAAAAAAATAATATCCTATTCTGTTTCCCTAGATAATAAGCCCAATCGTGATTTGAGTGCATGCGCTAAAATAAGCCCTCCCCGAAAATATTTTAAACGCATGCAGAGTCGTTCCTCAACATTTCCTCTTGTTGCTTGCCACGCAAACAACACGAGGTGAGGTGAGGCTGGAGGGAGGAAAAGGGAGGAGTGCCCCATGCACTCCACACGCCCTTACCTCATGGTCGCTCCTGCAACCCTAGCCACCACGCCCCTTCTGTCATGCTATTGGCTGCCGCAAAAAGAATGGCAGGCCCAGCGATGCGCCTTGCTGCCGCAGGAGCGCAACACAACAGCAGCCAGGAGGTGAACACACTCGCCACCTCCTGCACCTCAAAAATAATAAGACCTCCCTGAAAATAAGGCCAAGCGCTTATTTCGGGGGTCAAAAGAAAATAAGGCCCTGTCTTATTTTCAGGAAAACATGATATTGATAAAAACCATCAAGTCTAGTGGGTGTTTTCCCTTTTTGCTTCACTATAATAGCCTTTGGAGAGATCCTGGTGTATTTTTGTGGAAATTATCCTTTGAACTCCTCTAAGAACTCCAATCTTAGAATGTTTTTAAGCAGCCAGTTCTGCTTCCGAAATTTGCAGCAACGTTATTTGGCTGGATTAACCACGGAACAGTAATAGGTGGATTAAGTGACGACAATTAAATTTGAAGTCAAATGTTAAAATGATTTCAAGGCTGAAATCCTCTTTGCTACTTCAATTTCAGACCTGATGTCTTTTTGAGATACCTAAAACAACTCAAAAACATAATGAAGTGTACCATTTAACCACGCTTATAATAGAAGGGTTTAGACGGCGTGCAAATGGCAATATAAGCCAGGCAGAGAATGGACATAAGATCTCTG